GATAACCGGCAACTGTGAAAGGAGACATCTACACTGATAATCAGGACACTGATTATTAGTGCCCTGATTATCAGTGCTGCCTCAAAAGTGCCCATCAGTGCTGCCAATCTGTGCCCTTTAGTGCAGCTTCATCACTTTCTCCTCATCAATTCCCGCCCAGTGCCACCTCATTAGTGCCGCCTATCAGTGTGCATCAGTGCAGCCTCATGAATGCACATCAGTGAAGGAGAAGCATTACCTGTTTGCAAAATTTTATAATAGAAATGAAAAAAACTTTTTTTTTCAAAAGGTTTGGTCTTTTTCATTTGTTTAGCAAAAAATAAAACACTCAGTGGTGATTAAATGCCACCAAAAGCTTGGTCACGAACAGCAGCATTTGTTTTAGGTTTTTTATTGTTTTACTGTATGTTATGATTGCAGGCCGAAACTTACAACTTTTTATGCTTTTCACGGAGATGCCCCCACGTGGGCTAAGTGCCTGAAGATGTACATGTTTTTGTTCAGTGTATGTTAACAAAAAAATAAAAAAACTATAAAAAAAATACCACCAAAAGAAAGCTCTATTTGTGCGGAAAAAAAATAAAAATTTAATATGGGTACAGTGTTACAGGATTGCGCAACCGTCATTCAAAGTGCGACAGCACTGAAAGCTGAAAATTGCCCTGGGCAGGAAGGCCCAGAAGACAAGTGGTTAAGCAGAGGTTTTAAAGACTCCTAACTGCACTTCAAAGCCTGCCATGAATAGTACAGTGGGCACCAGACAGTGCAGTACACACACATATGCATGGTAGTGGTGTGTCCCAAAAAAAAAAAAAAAAAAAATCAGCATGTCTCTTTTATGAGGCATTGCTGTTTGTAATCCAACTCCTTTAATTTCATTGGTAGAGCGTCATAACTGCCCTTTTGTCACATCCCTTACAAAGGGATCCTGCGTCGCTCCAAAGCATTGCACTTGGTCCTTTGTGATGTCTTTTTTCTGCAATAAAAGCTTTGGACTGGTAAATATGTGCATCGATTTGGGATGAATCCAATTTCCAGCTGGTAGTTACTGCATCAATTGCTCTCTTTGAACCCATTTCCAGGAATGTGTGCAATGGTAATATTGACAACACTGTGCATTAATAACCACCCCGCAACCTCATCTATAGCATTTAAGGTGTGTTAGCGAAGCATTTAAGTGTGTCAGCTGGGCACTGGGGGGAGAGGCAGTGGAGGTTCCTGTGTCCCACAATGCAAAGCAGCTCCTGTCACTTTGTTTGTACACAGCCATGAGGTGACACCATTAGCTTCTGTGCGCAGGCAAAAACATCACCCAGCCAGCAATACTGACAGTGCTAGACAGGAGCAGAGGCACTGAGCATTATTGGGCATGGCAAAGCTTTTTGTGTCAGCAAAGTGTTGGTGCCAGCAATTGACCGTGACAATCTTTCCATGATTATCTTAAGTTTAACCAGGCAAAATGCCGACGGGGATTGGGGGTTTCTGGGTTGGGGCACCCATGCTGCTTGCACTGTGAAAGTGATCGGCGGCTATACAGCCACAGCATCACTTTCACTTCAGCTGAACAAAATGGGCACAGGCTGATGGCTGTTACTGCAGCCATCAGCTTATGCTCAAGGGTTCACTCTATATCTGTGTGTATAACAAACAATACTTATTTGAGCTTGTTATACCTGATGGAATTGAGATGTGATTCCATACTGTTGTATTATTTATTAGAACCACAGCTTGTTCATTAATTTACAAGCACTGCAGATTCTGGTGGGTTTTTCTAAATGGTCCGAAGTAGCTGTGTTAACTCCGCTCTGCCTACACTGCATAGAAGGTCTTGTTTTGCCTACTCTTGTGCATGCCTAAATAACTGCATTTCCTTTCGATTTTCATGTACAAGATTTCCAAGTCAGCAAAGTAGCATTCAAAAAAAAAAAAAAAATAATGGGAGCGTGAACAATCTATATAACCTGCTTTAAGAAAGTCAAACTTGCTTTTTTGGGCTGCATGCAGTGCTTTTAGAAAAAATGCCCCCGGTTGTTTTACACTTTTAAAGTATAATGTTGTTACAAAGAGGTACAATCTTTTTCTAGAATTAAGTAGGTGCAGTTCCTGGAAGATTTAGTTCTCTTACAAATGACCACTGTTTCATCTGATCTTGCATGCCCATTTTAAAGTGTTCCTACTGCTTATCAGAAAAAAATCTAATTGAAAGTAATCAATCTGCAAGAGAAGAGGATAACTGTTCACCTTCTCAGCATGCAAAACTTCATTGGTCTACAGAGCTTCAAGAACACTTCTGGGGATTTCTATGTGGTTCCTTCTGCCAACCTCTACATCACTAAAGGACACTGTAGTGAAATAAGATTGGTGAAGAGAACCCATAGCTACCAGCAGGGGACACGCTGACACACAGAAAAGTGTCAGATGGGAGTGGCACTCAGACCTCTGCAAGAGAAGGAAGATTTGATATGCTTGCCGGAAATCTGAGAATTCCTCCTTTTCTCTTGTAGGGTACCTTGAGTTTGGTTTCATAGGGTTAACAGCTGACACCTCTAACAGTTCATGTTTTAATTCCAAGTATTTGTGCTGAAAATGGTAACGTAAAATGGAAAAATATTCACTGATTATATCCCTGTAATGACCATGTTGGAAGGTTTAAGATCTTCACAGAGCTAGGTGCAGTGCAATACAGCAGGTAGGAACAGATTCTTTTAGACTTTTTTTCCCCCTAGTGGTTAAAGGAAGCAATTAAAGGGAACCCATGCTTACTGTGCATGCTAATGCAATATGACAGTGGTCTCTAAACTGTGGCCAGCTGGCCAGATGCAGCCCTTTATTTGCTTTTATCTGTTCCTTAGGGCACTTTTTCATCCAATGATACAAACAATGGGGCATAATTACCCCCACTGACACCAATGATGGGGCACAATTTCTCCCAATGACACCAACAATGGGGCCCTATCACACCAATGATGAAGCACAATTCCTCCAAATGACATCAAAGATGGTGTAAATGGTTTTTCCCCACTAACATCAGGGCCTTTTTTTTTTTTTCTTACTCCCAATCCAGCGCCCCCAAATTTCTGAAGGACAGTAAACTGGCCCTTTGTTTAGAAAGTCTGGAGACCCCTGCCTTATGACATGTAAATATTATTAGAAGGGATTCCCTGTGACCTGAAAATTACTTCACAGGTTCCTCAGAGTTAAAAAGGTTGAGAAAGGGACACTGACCAGGAATGTGTATGTAGGCTAGCAGCTCTGGATTTTTCACCAAATACAACGATTTCACCATCTGCATTCTTTTTCCAGCATGGTGCTCATTATGGAGTGAAGTCACAATTAGAATAAAAACCACTAGTGTCTTCATCTTTAGAAACCATGCTTCCAAATAAATTCTATCCCCATACCTGTACTTTAAAAATGCCTCCAAGAAAACGGAGATGTTCTGAAGGGATCAAAAATATATTGACCATTTAATCACAAATGTATGCAAGAATGTTACAGATTTCCAGGCATATGGGTGCCAAAACCAAAGAAAAACAGCACAATTGTCTTAACAGTGGGTTGTGTGGACATGCACCTGATTAGACTTTCAACTCTAGTTCTATGTGCTCCCAAATTCCCTAAACCAGGGGTGGGCAACCGTGGCCCTCCAGCTGTTGTAGAACTACAAGTCCCATGAGGCATTGCAAAACTGACAGTTACAAGCATGACTCCCAAAGGCAGAATGGGACTTGTAGTTCAACAACAGCTGGAGGGCCACAGTTGCCCACTCCTGCCCTAAACCATTCATTTACTGTGTAACTGTGTCATTCCACCTACCAATTAAGAGAGACCACCAAAGATGCACAAGCCACTTTATACCAATGATCAGACAAAACCTCACTGAGCAAATACACAAAATATTTTCATAAAAAACTGCATCATATAAAAACATTCTATAGAAAAAAGGGGTTAGGTTTCTACAAGTACACAGCATGGAACAGCAAAAGAACATAAGCAACTTCTCAGAATCATAAAATATTTAATAAGGTATATTTTAGGGGATATACTGTGTATAAAATTTGAGATCACAATAGGAAGCTAGTTTAGACCCTCTCCAAGCTATAAATGTCACCCACTTGCAATGCTTTGCAGATTGTACTGCCACTGATACAAGGCTCTACTGAAGCATACAAAATTTCAACTAATATAAAAGTGGCTTTTTTTTGGAAAGACAAAAAATAAAATCACGTCGCTAGAGTGTATTGATTATCTCTAAGAGCAAAAAGAAAAAAGGGAAGAAGAAAAAAAAAAAAAGAAAAAGCAAAAACACAGATTACATTACACTAATGTAGCAACAATGCATACATATTGTTCTCATTAGTAATATTAGTAGTCAGCTGGTATAAGGTACAAAATATAAAGCAGAGAGAAGCTCACAGTAATAAACTACAAATAAGCTTTGCAAAAGAATAGGGGGGAAAATGAAAGGAGTAAAAAGAAAAATAAAAACTGATGAGTTTGCTGTTCTGTAATCCAATACAACTCTTTGTATTTAAGTGCTGTCAGTGTATGTTAAGCCCTTCCTTCATGAAAGGAGCCTGCAAGCCTTTTTCCTGCAACAAACTGTGGACCCTCTTGGCACTGGAGCAGAAAAATGTCATGAACCAGGAATGACTGAACATCGTTGGTGATGATCAGGTGATCAATTACTTGCTCTCGCTGTCCCCATGTATTCTCTTCCTCTGTCTTGAGGTAGTTAATACAAGCCAGACTGTAGGTGTGGTAGCCAGCACGTGAAGATGGTGTCCAAATCCATGGTCTTAGGAGACAGACTACCTTGGATATTGTGACAGTCGAGAACAGAAGACATGAAGACATGGGGGAAGAACATTTCCCTCTGATTTGAAGGTGGTGTTTTAATTCCACGCTGCCTGTTGGTCCAATATTCTTTTTTGTGATTTATTGAATCTGTCTTTATTTATAAAAAGTCAAAAAGAAAATTGCTGTGGGAGCACAACCAATCACCGTCCTTTGCTGTAGCCAGGAAAAAACTGGTCAAGCAGTGTTTGCAGGACCTTGTTTGGAACCATACTGTAAGTCTTTCCAAGGTCAAAGCGACATGCTGGACAGCTGTACACCTCTGCTCGAAAGGAACGTTGCAAACAGCTCTGAAACCAAAAAGTACAGTTGTTCAAAAATAGCTACTTCACAGTTTTAATTTTTCAAAGTTACTCATTCATCACTGGCAGCTACATATCTAAAATGACACGGTCACCTGCCCATTCACCATGTCTACTGATAGCCCACCTCCCAAGTAAGATATACCTACCCATCCACATCCCCTCACCACCTTCCTGCAACAGGAGTTCACACTTTGTAAGCTCTGGTGTTGGATCTTATCCAGGCAGATGATATCCCTTCTCCAGAAGGAAAGTGACTGTTTCTCTATCAAAACCCAATATTAAACATTTATTAGAAAGCGGTCGCCATTACCACTGAACATTGGCCTATTTTTTCCAAGTCCTCAATTTCTAAGCGCTGAACTATAAGGGGGCCACCTTTATGTCTCTCTTTATTCCAAGTTAGAGAGCATGGGGCAATATAGTGACAGCTGCATTTGCCCAAAGGGAATAGAGGACAGGAACAGGAAAGGGGCAGTATGCAGAAGGACAGCCCCTTCAAAAATGGTTGCGGTAGCGAATATCATGCTGGGTACTTTTACTTATCATCTTTGACCTAGACTAAACTTCAGTGCTTGAATGAGTTCTTTAAAACGGTTATATAAGTGTATGACAAGATAAAATATACCGAGATCCCATTTACCTGTACATACAACTGACAAAGAATAAAGCAGAATTGAATATTATGCATACAAAATAGAAATGGTTTACTCACTTTGCACACATTGTGGAGGCAGGCAGTTGTAATTGGCTGGTAAACTAACTCCTGGCAGCACACACACATAAACGTTTGCTCAACCTTTTTCAGAAATTTCTATAAAAAAAAATAATAAAAATAAATAAAAAATAAAATAAAAATAAATAAAAGTTAAGACATCTTAATTTGAAAGCAAGGTTCAGCACAGTGTGCACATGCTGCTTATTTCCATGTTCTGATAATGTAGGCCTCGTTCACACCATATGTGAAGAAAAACTGATGCACAGATTTCACAGATTACATCAGTTTTTCCTGAGTGCTTCAATGAGTTTATTACACATTGCAGATTCCTGCGCAGAAATAAAACTGCAAGGGATACTTGGGTTGTGGTGTGAACAGAGCACAGAGAGAATTGATATTGTTGTGCCCTTGCAGAACGCATGCAGAAACACTGACATCTTTGCACCATGATGTGAACGAGCCCTAAAAGCTGAACTCCAGGTAAACAGCTAAACACGCAGCACAATGCCTATATAGCAAATATTTAAATCTAAGGGCTATCTGACCAAAAAGTACAGATAGTCCAGACACCAGCAATGGTGACCTAAATTTTCTACCATGCACCACAGCTATACAGCTGGGTCACCTCCCTGCCACTGCCTGTTATTGTGCAAAGAAGAAGCAACACACTGATGAGCTCATCCTTCCATTCACTCATCATCAGTATGATCCTTGTCATCACATCTGATCGATCCCTACTGCTGGCCTTCCCACTTCTAGTCTTCCATAGTTCTACTGTATATGTGACATGCAAGCGGCTACACCAAGTCAAAATCCAGTAGCATTTAGTACATCATGATCTACAGTCTACAGAAATTAGCTATGCTTTGTATTCAGATATATCTTACCTGGAAAATGATTTAAAATATTCTGAGAAATATGCACAATGCACACATACTAGTCAATACAATTATCTTGATTTCTAAAGTACACTAAAATAAAACATAGAACTATGTTTACTATTCATAAATTATTACCTTCAAGCTAAAGTTTGGGCATAACTGTTATTCAATTGTTCCAAATGTCTTTTTTTTTTTTTAAGATTTGTACCACTGCATATTCTTTTGGTAAAGAGTTAACCACCCACTGAATAAATTCCAGCTGAACGATTCCTAATCAGGTCTAACTCTGCTTTATGTTCTCTTTGTGTGACCGGCGGCTACTATTCACCCTGCCACCAGTTGTGTACAATCCTCTATGTAGTTCCAATTAGCAGGGAACATCAATGTAATCTCGAAACCAATTGCTGTTTTGGGCTAACCCAGACATCTTAGACTCCTGGTCTGACCCATCCTCATACCATGCATCAATTGACTGAAAGGCTAGGAGACTGGTTGTGTTTATAACTGCAAAATAGTTTGCTGATCACATTAACGTCCATCCACAATTACAATTCCCAGTTTCTCCAAGTGGTGCCGCACAATGAGATGCGACAAATTCATCTCCATGTACCTCCTCTGGGTGTCTGGCTGTAGCTGCTTTTTCTCTCACCATTGATGAAAGTATTTTTCTGCTAAATGGTGAAGCTTTAATATGAAAAAAAAAAAAAAAGAGCAAGTATTTATGCAATTTACTTGTATCCCGGAGTTCAGCTTACTATAATCAAGAACCTGTAGCTTGATGCAAATTTATTAGCAACACTTACAGGGCCCTCCTTTATGGAAGACAGAACCTCGTCCCACAGCTTCTGGTTTTGAGAGTCCTCTTTAATAAGCCAATTCTGCTGTTCCGTTAGTTGAAATGCTTCTCCACCCTTCTCCTTTTCTTTCTCTCCTTTTCCTTCTCCTTTTCCTTCTTCTCCCCTTCCTCTGAAAGCTTCACACTCTTAGATGGCAAGGTGTCTTCATTTGTGTCATCTGAAATCATTTTCAAAAACATAAAACGATTAAAAAGAAATGTACAATAAAAGGATTAAAACACTCTACACTTATAGAAAACACAGAACAGCAGACATACAAAGCCTGCAGCAGGAAGACCTAGTACACATTAGAAGGTGTAAGCATCATTAGAAAATGATGCCCCTCTAATGGTCAGAATCAGCTCTGAGCCAGTTTGAAATGTATGTCTAAACAGGATTAAGATGAGCTTGAAATGATAAAATATTGCTTATTTATAAAATGTTACATGCTGTACTGTAGGTATACATGAAATAGAAATATAAAGCATAGTGATTTAAAAATAATTCACAGCCACTCTTGCTTAAGACAAAGCCTCACTATAAGGACCTTGTAAACCTGCCGAAAAGAATTTTCAAATGTTTTATTAGTCCATTATATTGGTTATTAACAGCTTCCCACCCAGCCATTATATATAAAAACTCTCTTTTTTCCTTTGTATACAGTAGCAAAAAAAAAAAAAAAAAGTGGCAAATAAATACCACCAAAAGAAAGTGGTTTAAAAAAACGATGAAAAAACTTTTGGGTGTGCATGACTGAGCAATTGTCAAAGTGTGACAGCACTGAAATCTGAAAAATGGCCTGGGCAGGAGGTGGAACAGTTTGGTCTTAAAGTGGTTAAACTTGATCAGCACGTGAAGATTAGGTAAAATAGACAAAAAAACAGGAGTCTTACAACATAAATTAAATGATCTTGTTCTTTTTCATAACATAGGCGATATCCCCATACCGAAGAGAACTGAAACCCTCTGTCTCGATACAAGTGACCCACTTATTCCTCACTTTAGAAACTGTGGGCTAAAATGTGCAAATTATTCCTAACCTGCATACATGCAAATCCCCATATAAACACACAAAGGAGCTAATTGGAAGAGATATACTGAACAAATTAGTGAAAGAAACTGAAGTCAAGACATAATTATTAAACCCCAATCTAAAATTAAAAGCAGCTTGAAAAAAAAATTGCGGAATTATCGAGAAAGCATACCATCTTCAATATGCCTTTTCTGGTTTCCGTTGCTTTGGGTGCTGCTATATTTGGAGTTGCTACGGGTGCCATGGCTGTGCTCTGGGGTACTTGGTTTACTCTGGCTCCGGGAACTCTGATTCGATGAACTGGCTGGACTGCTTGGTTCAGATTTTGTAGGCGGTGGTTTCTTGACTTTTTTCTCTTTGTTAGCCATGGCTTCCAAATACCCCTCTGGAAACTATAGTAAATGCCCAAAAAAAATTTTTATTTTATCATTTACCATAATCATAAATACCATGAAACCACTCACACAACCTGTATAAAAATGATCTGCTTTTACATGGGATTAGCACTTCAGCCTAAGTGAACTATATAGCTTTACAACCAAAACATTTTGGGCAGGCAAGATTTTATTGTAGAACGGACGCTTTATATTTCCTTTGTAACAAATAGGTCTACCTGCCTGCCAACAAAGTTTCTTCTGAATGTATACCAGGTTATATGCACCCACCGGCCACTTTATTAAGTACACCTGGTAAATAGCTCCGTAACACAAATTGCTAAAATCACATGACAGCAACTCAATGCATTTAGGCATGTAGACAAGGTAAAGGAAACTTGCTGAAGTTCAAACCGAGCATCAGAATGGAGAAGAAAGGGGATTTAAGTGACTTTTAACGTGGCATAGTTGGTGCCAGACGGGCTGGTCTGAGTATTTCAAAAACGGCTCATCTACTGGGATTTTCATGCACAACCATCTCTAGGGCTTACAGAGAATGGTCCGAAAAAAAAGAAAATATACAGTGAGTGGCAGTTGTGTGGATGAAAATGCCTTGTTGATGTCAGAAGAGAATGGGCAGATTGGTTGCTGTGACATTCAGATGGTAGGGTCAGAATTTGGTGTAAACAACATGAAAGCATGGATCCATCCTGCCTTGTATCAAAGGTTCAGAATGGTGGTGGTGGTGGTGTAATGGTGTGGGGGATATTTTCTTGGCACTAGTAAGGTGTACCTAATAAAGTTGCCAGTGAGTGTATGTGAATCTCAGTGTACATTCTCAACATGCCTTGGTACCAGAGAGAAAAAAAAAATCCCAAACTACATCATCCAAGGGTCAGCTAATCAAGATGACCAAAGACACTGAACTTGGAAGAAGGCTGGTCGAAGATGGCACTCACATGGTTGGACAGGAGGCAAGTATAGTGAGATTAATTATGCTTCAAACTAAAGTATTTTCAACAAAAACAAAGTAATTCTGTAGGTCGTATGTTCATTAATTGATTATGTAGAATGTAGGATGAAATACACAGCTGAGAGTGGTTACTGTATTTTTCAGTCCCGAGTGTCTATTAAACCAAAAGAATAATACACACTGTGTCTCTGGTGTCACCTGTAAAGTCAGTCCAAGTTTTTTTGAGCGATCAATGCCTTCCGCAGTCCATGGGGCAGGCTCCAAGTCATCCCTCCGCAATAGGTATCTCCACACTAGGAACCCACACTTGCCTATTTCAGGCCAGTATTTTACCACCTATGCAACAAAAGGTCAGGCAGTATTCATAGTGTTTTTTTTTCACAACAAATGGATTCAGAAGTAGAAAATGTGCAATTTAAATGAACTTACACAAATAACTCTGCTTCATTTGCTTAACTTTGTTATGACAAATCAATAATGTATTTAATTCAACAACAGTCAACAACCTATCACCTGCAAAGCATTTTATAAATATAAAACTAAAATTAAATCAACAGTCTGATTGGTTATTACAGCCTTAAACTGCTACTATGAAATGTTTACTTATGTACTGCTCACACAAATAATCCTGACAAAAATCTGTCAATTTAAAGAAAAACAGTGAACACTTTTAGGTTAAATGGATTCACGGAGCAGTTTAAGCAGAGATATATAAACAGCAATTCTCATGGGGTTGAAGACCTTATAAATGCCATCATATCTGTTGCCATCTTCAGGGGCATATTTGCTGATTCTACGTCCCTTTGAGCTTCGGACTACGCGGACAGGCTTTCCAGCTCTCCAATTCTTAGACTCAGCTCCATCTTTATCATTCAGGGCCGCATCACAATTTAGGGCCAGGGCCCTAGAACGGGATGCAAAAAGATGAGAGCACAATAAATGTTGTGCATTATGAACTGCTTTACCAATCAAGTAACCTTCATAGTGTAAACATGTAAGCAATACCATACAATTGCCTAATGTAGCGTTTATTAATCATGTTAGGAATTCTTGTTTCTGAATGAATATAGAAGTCCTTTTTACAAATTAATCCTAAATAAGTTTCTGACAAAACAGGTCATAATTAATACACAGTCTAACTTGTGCGCATTTATAGATAGCTATTGTAGGTAGTGATGTAAAGCTCCTGCCACCAAGATAAATGTATGTAGCATTTAGTAATAAAAGTAACCAAAGTTCTCAAATATATGGTAATGTATACACACTCATTGTAAATTTTGATTTACCAATTGATAAGAAAAGGAGGAGAATAGGTTAAACAATACATCAAATGATCATTATGAATCTATGATCGCCTGTTTAACTTAACCAAATTTAATTTAAAAAAAAAAAGTGTTCAGATATGCTGGTAAGACTAAAAAAGACATACTGATAAAAGACCCATAGCTGTAACTTTGATAGCCAGCCATAAATGCTACATTTTATGTTCTGATATATGACGGAAAATGAATCACCACAGTGACTATTAAAAGGAATAACCTAAAGTAGAGAAAACAATCACAAAAACCTCAGTGGGCAACGTCTATTGAAAAACAAACCCATTGGTATCTTCTGCTTCTCTTGGCTGCAAGCTCCACAGGTATAGGATTTCTGGTATCTAGTAACGTTTATAATATAGCGGGTCTTAATCAAGAACTATAATTTAAAAAAAGAAGAACTTACTTTTATTTTGTGTTTCTAGGTTAAATCACACAAATAGCCCTGTGAGATAGCTTGATGCCTGATTTATTGACATACACTGTTATGTGCATGACAAATCCCAGCAACTTCTGTGAACACAGACAGGCCTGCAATTTATTTTAGCAACACAATTTGCACTAATATGCCCAGATGTACAACCCAGTGTCTGAATATGTGTGTGGCAATGTTGACGTATGTTCCATGTGTGTGATAACCTACTGTAACTTTCCCTAAATAAATATAGGCTGTTCTGCACACATGTGAATATACACCAGGCATCAAGCTACATCTCTGAAGATATACAGGTAGGTAAACAATCAGGGGGAAGTGTACCATATGATGACACTACTTTCTCTCAAAGTTCTACTATTTAGATGGTTTATCAAACAACCATTTCATCACTCCGGTATATCAATATGTTGGTAGTGTGCCTCCTGGCATAAGTTCAGCATCTTAATTACTGGCTAAGTGTTTGTCTGTAATGGCAATTCTTTAGCTTTTTTTTAACACTGTCCATAAGTGATGGTCTCTATCCACAGTACCCATGATTCTCATTACTGGGCAATTACCCTTTGGGTTAACAGTTCAAGGGTGCTAAAGTGGTGTTCTTCTAATGCAGTCAAAGTCTAACCGCACCAAAAGCACAAGGAAGCCAAGGAGCCCACAGGGGATTCTCTAAATAATCAATGACTATGGCATCCCCGGGTAGAAACCCCAAAAATAGCCAGTACACAAGGAGGTCCATGGCTTGCCTTTATAACAGTATATGATCTACAGTTTAGAAAGAAAATGTTGAATACACATCAGAAAAACTGTAATGTGCAATATGTATGAACTAGTAACTATTACCATAATGAACAATTGAATAAGATGATTCATTGTTAACCACTTGCCATCCGGCCACTGTATATAAACAGCCGGACGGTGGCAGTCCAGGGGCGGGTTGCCGTTCATAAACAGCGCCCGCCATTTTGGACTGTGCGCACTCCCTGGGAGCGTGCAGCACCACGATCCGGTGCCCGCTGTGTCCTCTGGACACAGTGGAACACCGATTGTCATACGGGACCTCTGTGCGAGGTCCCGATCATGTGATCACTGATTGGCCAATCAGTGATTACATGCAGAGTAGTAAGCAAGATGTGAAATTTGTGAATGATCACAGAGGTCACATGGTACAATGCTATTCACAACAGCCTTGTACCATGTGACAAGCTGTGACCAATCATAGCTCACACATTATTTCTCAATGGCTGCAAGAATGCAGCCAGAGAAAAGGAGAAATGATTAATTTTACAGCCTTTATGGGTGTAAAAGCAATCAGTGTAAAAAAAAAAAAATCTTCATCACCCCCCACAAGTAGTACAGTGTCACCATAGTGACACTGTACTGCTAGGGTGACAGTATGTAAAAAAAAAAAAAAATTATAATTTTTGGTTATAAACTAATTTGGGGTTTTTTTTTTTTACTAAAAAGATAACTGAATAAATTTTGGCCAAGACTTATGATGAAATATTATTTATTTGCAAAATTTTTATAAGAAATACACTTTTTTTTCAAAATGTTTGGACTTTTTCATTTATATAGCAAAAAAAAAAAAAAAAAAATCCCAGTGGTGAATAAATACCAACAAAATAAAGCTTTACCTGTCTCAAAAAATGCTAAAAAATTCATATGGGTACTGTCGCAAAAGCGCGCATCAGAGATGGACGCGGTTCAACCATTTTGGTTTCAACCTCCATCTTGGCGAAGGGACTAACCATCCTGAAATATATTTTCCCTCATCCTCCCCCCTTTCCTCTCTGTTCAGCCACAGTGACATCTGGTTGTGGTCACTGGCAGGCTAGAGCAGCAGGGGGCCCAGAGCTACAAAGCCCCCCCAGAGAGACAGAGCCTCTTTGCCCAAGAACCTGTGTAATTTCTCACCTCGTAACAGAGATAAGGCAGCTTTCCCAGGAATTGAAAAAGGTTTTAACCTCATAAAACCTAGCAGTGTAGGTGACAGAATTAAATGAACATTCCTCAAATCAATTTTTATTCTATGTCTCATATCTTGGAATATGAGAGACATACATAAAAGCAAGACATATCATTGGATAGGCGATGAGCAGGCGAATCGTTTAATAGGTCACTCAACGTGTTTCGCACGCTTAGGGAAGCAGAAACATAGATCTTGTGAACCGAGCAACATATAATTTCATAATTCATATCTAAATAATCCTCAGACTTGTCTGTGTAATAATATACCTGCGAGGGGACTATCGCTCGTGCAGCTGAGAAGCTATAGACCAGAATATGAATTATGAAAGATGTTGGTTCTAATTTAGGGTTCCGCCCGATGATCCCTCCCTCCACATGCACAGTTTGCGCGCTTGCAGAGCCGAGCTGCGGCGCGATCTGTCACCGGCCGTGTACCTCGGACACGGCCGATGACAGATCTGAGTACCAGCACCGTGGCCAGTACCATGTGATCTGCTGTGACCAATCACAGCAGGTCACATGACAGTTATATACAATGGATGGCTTTATTCATGCCATCCTTTGTATACTAGTGTGCCTAGCTGTGAATAATCACAGCGATCACATGCACAAGCTGTGCCAATCACAGCCCAGCTGTGTCATGTGATTAGCCATGGCCAAAATCACAGCTAGGCACACTAATATACAAAAAAAAACCTGAATGAATCGATGTCATTCAGGTAAATGCTTGCTTATAGTAAAGTAATTCTTTGCTATAAGTAAATTGTGTAAAAAAAAAAAAAAAAAATACTGATCACTTCCCCAAAGTAGTGCAATGTACTACTTTGGTCATAGTGAAATATGAAAACAAAATATTAAAAGAAAAAAAAATGTAATAAAAAATTAAAAATAAAAAAAGTATATTTTTTTTTTCCATACTGTCACCAGTGTCCCTGATCACCACCATGCCAGTTATATGATGATGCTGTACTGCACTGGTGACAGTATGTAAAAAAAAAAAAAAAAATGGTGAAAATACTTTTTTTTTTAATTTTTTAATTTTCCAAAAAATGACAAAAAAAATACAACTTCAAAAAACTCGCCATGCCTCTTATGAAGTACGTCGGATTGTCTACTTTGCAAAAAGGGGTCATTTGGGGGATATCTGTACTGTTCTGACATTCTTGGACCTCAAGAAATTAGATTGGCCATCAGTAATCCAGGATTGATCAATATTCAGATATATCCCATAGTTTGTGAACTTTCCTACAAACTAAAAAATACATCCTAAATTGGGTTATTTTCACCAAAGACATGTAGCAGAATACATCTTGGCCTAAATTTATGAAGAACAATTATTTATTTGTAAACTTTTATAACAGAAACAAAAGAAAAATGTGGGTTTTTTTTTTAATTTTTGGTCTTTTTTTGTTAATTTAGCAAAAAATAAAAACCCCACTGGTGATTAAATACCACCAAAAGAAAGCTCGAGTTGTGTGAACAAAATTATAAAATTTTAGTTTAGCCAAGGCATGAAGAGAAAATCCTCAGAAAATTACTTTGCAAAACACTGAACAGACTGCAGTTGACCTGTTTCCCCATCCAGCTCTTACACTCTGCTTCCTAATCTCTCCATTCTGTAATATTTTGTAAATTAAGAATGGTTTCAGAAATAGAAGTGCTAGTTTTTTTTTAAGTAAATGAACAGAAGAGAAATCCAAAACAAATCAATATTTGGTGTGACTACCCTTTGCCTTTCAACAAAGCATCATATCTTCTAGGTACACTTGCACACAGTTTTTGAAGGAATTTGGCAGGTAGGTTTATCCAAACATTTTGGAGAACTAACCACAGATGGTAGTTATTGACAATCAGGGAGGCATGCGATCGGCCCAAAATGTATTTTGCAGCAGGATGACACCAAGTATACAGCCAATGTCATTAAGAACTATCTTTCAGCGTAAAGAACAAGGAGTCCTGGAAGTGATGGTTTGGCCCCCACTGAGCCCTGATCTCAACATCATGGAGTCTGTCTGGGATTATATGAAGAGACAGAAGGATTTGAGGCAGCCTACATCCACAGAAGATCTGTGGCTAGTTCTCCAATATGTTTGGAACAACCTATCTGCTGAGTTCCTTCAAAAACTGTGTTCAAATGTACCTCAAAAAATTGATGCTGGTTTGAAGCCAAGGAGTAGTCACACCAAATATTCATTTGATTTAGATTTTTCTTCTGTTCGCTCACTTTGCATTTTCTAAATTGATAAAAACAATTAAAATATATATTTTTGAAGGCATTCTTACTTTACACCACTCCTGCTAATTCTAAACCTACATGCCAACAAAACCTCCACTAACTTCTGGAGATATATCCTCAAGTCCTGGGCCTTCAACACTTAACTTTAACCAACACACCCAGTACCCCCCCATCCTCCGACTGCAGCCGCAATCCAGACAATCTGGTTTCTATTTCTCTTCTTCCCAAAACCAGCCTCCCCTTTTCCTGTGCCTTTTGGAATGTCGGCTGTCTGTCTGTAACTCTCTCAACTGTCCATGACCTTTTCATCACTAATCACTTTATCCTAGACCTGTATAAATCTTCTTTGATGGCTTCTCTGCCTGCCTACACTACGTTCTCTCTTCTGAAGTTCCCACAATCATTCTTGGTGACTTCAATATCCCTGTTAACATGAACACTCCAGCTACTTCTAAACCTCTCAGTCTACCTCCTCTTTTAACCTAAAACAGTGGACACATGCTTCTACTCACTCTGATGGCAACTTCCTTGACACTCCTACCTCTGAACTCTGTGTAACTTCTCCGACAAGCCTTTTCCCCTGTCTGATCACTACCTTATTAGCGTCACTTTTTCCTTTGTCTTTCCCCCTTCTTTCCCTCCAACCTCCTTACCCGTAAAAACCATCACCCTAACCCTTCTCTTTCTCAATTTTGCAGCAGACTGTCTATGACAAAATCTCACCCCTGTCCTGCCTCAACTTAGCCACTTCTGTCTACAACAGTTCACTGTCATCCTACCTGAACACATTAGGCCCCCTCACTAAACAAAGAATCAGGCCCTGAGCGGTACAACCCTAGCAAACAGACAACACCAAAAGTCTCAAAACCGAAGCGGTGCTCTTGAGCATCTGTGATGTAAGACCAAATCGCAGCAATCAGCCCTGTAGCTATTGTTAAAATCTGTCCTGTAAAAATGCAATTCCTGCGTCCAGGAAGAAAGAGGCAGCACTCTCTTAAGTGCAGTATGAAAGCTTTTAATGGATAAAAAGTGTAGTAATACAGGCCACTCACAAAGCACAAGTAGGTTTGCGCTTGTAAATTAATAAGTATCCACTGTAGTGAAGGAGTGTGAAGCCTCTGGATGATGGTGGTCACCGGCATTTGGTGGTGGTGGTGCTGGTGGCCTCCAGCACATCCTTCTAGTTCCAGGATTCCCTCAGTTGAGACGTCACTTCCGGTCACGTGATGGCGGGGCTTGGCGCACGTTCAAAGCATGCGTGCTCCCTCATCAGGCCAGCCTGATGAGTGAGCACGCGCATGCTTTGAACGCGCGCCAGGCCAGCTTTTACTCTTTGACCATCCTCTGGAACTCCTTACCACCATCTGTCTATCTCCTACTCTATCCATCATTAGGGGATCGTGGAAAACCCATCTCTTCAGGGAAGCCTATCCTGCTTCTAACTAATAAACTACTTTTAATTTCTCCTTCAGCTCATCCCAGACAATTATTACTTTTTTATATCACTTGACTCTCTTGATAAGCTTATAAGCTCTATTGAGCAGGGCCTTCTGATTCCTCTTATATTGTAACTGTATTGTCTGCCTTCATTTTGTAAAGCACTGCACAAACTGTTGATGCTATATAAATCCTGTATAATAATAATAATAATAATAACACTGGCTTATGTATTTACCGCCTGTTTTAAGAGCACCTAAAGTAAAATAAATCACAAGTATAAAAAAAAAAACAACCAAGATTCCATTTGTAGGTCCAGTAAACCTGGCAACATTTTGTTTGTAATAACATTTTTGCATTTTACCATTGTACTTGTTTGATAAATTAAGAGAATTATCATTTTTGTCCTCCTTTGCCTGAGGTATACCAATACACTTTTACATAATTATTAAAGAAAGGAAAAAAAAACCCCAAAAACACCATTTAAAAAAAATGTACAAACTTATATAAGAAACAAAATATGTAAGGCAAAACTGACCCAAAACCGTTAACCCTTTTATGACTGGAGATAAAGGACAAGTTCACCTTTTGCTAAAAAATAACAAATGCACATTTTTTTTTCTGCTCTCCTGCAGGGCTGTCAGTATACCTGCTTGCCTGTATGGGATATACTGACAGAAAGATTCAATGAACTTTCACAGCGCTCCATAGCTCCATAGCGCCGTGGAAGTTCATTGAGAACTGCAAGCCAACAGCTGTTAAGGCTGTTGGGACTTGTAGTTTCTCATTCGTAGAGGATTGTGAATGAGTGACACGGCCAGGCAGCCATGTTTTTTTTTTTTTTTTTTAATTTTGACAGATAGAGGGAGAAGATCTCCCACTAGCTGTCAAAGAGGGGGAGAATGGGCTGGTCTATTCATAACATGTTACACCCTGAATATGGTGTAACATGTAACAGGTTATGAAAGGTGAACTTACCCTTTAATGTCTAGATACCCAGGTCAAAATTAGCAGTGTCAACAATACAACTTTGACAGCCAGTAATAGACACAGAGAAGGAGAGAAGCTGAATGTAAGAGATGCATCCTAAAAAGTTTGAAGTTTTTTTAAGATGACTCTTGTTATATTCAGAAGTGGTTAGAGTCATTCACTATATCTGGGCACATTCATTTTTCCATGGAAGGAACTAACCTGTTCATATGAGTCAACGTCTGATCAAATGAATGTTCTCCAATTCTTTTGTTCCCAGAAAGATCCCGACCACCACTGCCAGTGTATGTGAACTCATCACCCCGATCCTAAGAAAGAGGAAATTGTGTCTTGTTTCAGTGATTCTGCTAACGTTAAAATATTGGATTTTATTTTACTAGCAATCTAGGATGGGCAGTCCCCAAGTGCTGAATCTTAAGAACAGAAACCATGTTACACTAGTCTGACCTAATCAGATATAATCATCAAATTCTGATAGGCTGCTATGAATTACTGCACCTAAAGCTCCAGGTATGAACTTTATTGCATATCTACATTGGTTCTAGGGGCGTAGATAAGGAGGGGGCCTTTGAAATTTCCACTCGCCCGCGAGTGGAAATAAGGTGGGGGCGGTGAGCAGTGCCGGGACCAAAGGTGCGTGGGAGGGGGTGGCGGTGGGGGAGGTGACAAGAAGCAATCTCCTGTATGGCTTTCAATAAAGCAGCTGGAAGCCGTGGGAGGGAGAGGAGGAGAAGCGGTAAAAATGCAGCTCAGCTGCCAGATGAATCACCCCCCCCCCCCCCCCCCCCGAAAAAAAAATTAACTACAGCCTTGATTGGTTCAGCTTGGAGCCGTCTCCCATCTGAACACATTGCCCAGAGTGTGGGGTTCACTAGTTAGGCACTGCAGCCATTCAGAGAACACCAAGGTTTTTTTTTGGACGAGGTGGAGAGGAGGGGCAGTGGTCATTACCTCATCCAACAACTTTGTATTCATGAAAAAAAAAAATTAAAAAGTAAAAGACATTCCTTGATAGGCGGCAGTGCAGCGAGCAGCCCTCTGTGACTAGTGTGCAGTACGAATGCCGCTCAGCACAGGACCCAAAAGAGCACTGTTCTCACTGTAGTAGTGCTATTACAATGATTGTAAGCTCCCTCAGGGGACCCTCAGGTATGAGACATCAACACTTGCATGGGTCCAGGATGGATCATACCTGAAGTTCAGCTTTAAAATTAAAGCTCTTTACTTAGCCAATCAGGTGAGCTGCATGCAAATACAAGCAAATCGCTGATCAGAATAGAAAGCAGACACATAACCTCATCAGTCTTCTGCTGTTCTTTCACTTCCCAGTCAGCAGGCTGGAGGTAGGTAATATTAAACTAACAAAGAAAGTGGTGTTATGTGGCCTGGATTTTATGAGTAAATCTCAGAACCGGATGCACAGAAACACAAATCCTTTGAAAAGTAAAACAGCAGGCATGTTTTTTCATATGTGGATTTAGACATTTACCTGGAGTTTAGCTTTCTAAATATAACCATAAGTCATATATAGGTGAATTATTTTGCCACACACCACCTCCTCTTGGGCTGAAGGTTTGAAGTGTGATTAATTTATCCGTCTCAGTATGTGATCCAAAAAAAAAAAAAAAACCCCTAGTGAATTACTTAAAGTAACTAAAGGCAACACATTTTAATTCATTTTTTCATAGAGTAAGGAAGGCTTATAACCTGTCAGGTTTTTTTTTGCCATCTGTGTCCCAATGGGTAGATTTCTCTCCACTTCCTGTCCCATAGCCAAAACAGGAAGAGAGAGGAAACACTGAGAATGCCAGGGTGTCAACAGGGTCATCAAGTGTCCTGTTGGAAGATTTCCTTTCTATTAAGGTTCTGATGCCAACTCAAAATTTCGGCTTTTCTTTTACATTCACTTTCAATGATAACGGGAAACAGGACATATAGTAAGGGTGAGACAGCAATAAAAATGGACATAAACAGGGTTATAATTCCACTCTATCCAAAAGAAAAAAAAAAAAAAAAAAAAAAAAAAAAAAGAAAAGTTTTGCCTTTAGTTGCACTTGAAATTTGCAAGTAAAGAGGGTCCTAGAGTTATTCTCACTTACATTATTGTTAATACAAATTCTTGCTCGTCTCATTTTTGAATATGTTTATTACTATACAGTACAGAAAGCCCTACGGGAGGGGCTGTTACCATCTGTGATTGTTACCAATATGAGGTTTATGTAAAATCTCTATTGTCAGATGTTACACACCTCTTAGTAGGTTATAAGTAAAAGGTGAGTGTGTGTGATCTATCCGTTTATCCACCTGTCTGCATCTGTGATTGCTTCTGGGGGATGTGGGAATGTAAATAATTGAATATACAAAATGCAAGGATGTTTTCTATTGGTTCCAGCTGATATGCTAAATAAATCATAGGCTGGGAGAATTTATGTAGCCAGGTCAATGCCAGGTTTGTTTATCTAAACAATGGAAGCAAATTCTTATCTCCAGATAGCAGCTTCAAAGCTTTCACTTGTTTACATAAACTATAGTGATGACCAACTTTGTGGTGCATAACTTGACCTGGGACAGCCCAGTAATGCTGTACATTTAAATCTCCCCTTCAAAAATTTAGACAGCTAGCTCAATAAACCTTTACATATTTATATAGAAAAATAGTTAGTCTGGTTGAAAAAAAGACAAGTCCATCTAGTTCAACCAATAAAAGGGAAAAAATAAATGTATACAATCCTATACCCACAGATGATAGAGAGGAAGAAAAAATAACCCAACACATGATCCAATCCAGCAGGGAATTCCTTCTTGATCCCCCAAGAGGCAATCCGATATTCCCTGGATCAACTTTACCTATAAATATTAGTATCCAGTTATATTGTGGACATTTAGGAAATACAGGCCTTTTTATTTTGCACAAAAAGGATTGTGATTTTGGTAACAAATCCTTGATAGTATACAATCCTCAGAGGACCACAGTAATTTGATTAGGTATGTAAAGGATGCCCACCAATCAGCATCTCGCAGGGTTGCTCTACGGAAGCTGGCTCTATATTAAAAGCAGCACTGCAGGGGAAAATGTGTCCTTTTGATTACCAGAAATTAGCGAATGGGGCCCACATGCCCAATTAACTGGTAGATACTGAATATATCCTGGAATTTACACATGATAGTCTTGTTTTCTCAGTTTTTATAGTTAATACTGAGTGATGGCATGCTTGATAATTCCCTTGTATATCAATAGATTGCTTTGGGTCTTTTTACTGTATAGCAATACATTTCTGTTGTTGTGTTCAAGCTTTAACTCAAATCTCAGAACCCTATTACCAAAAGTGTGTACATGTTGAGGTTTATATAGCAGTCGTATCTCAAGGTATATCATTTCAGGTGACAAATAATCACTGCCTGTTATATTATTGAAACAATAGAATGTACAAAATTTTGGATGGTAATATGGTCCGTAAATGTCACCTAGAACCTGTACTGAAACACGTTAAAAAAAAAAAAAAACAAAAAAAACAAATCTCTTAAGTACCATTGTCTAACAATACAATTACTCTTTCAAAAAGCAGAGTCATTGGTTCCAGCAGTGCTCAGCATTTGCAAAGTTTTCCCTTTATCCATGTCAATCATGCAGAAACCTTTTTTTTTCTAGAACTTTTCCGCATTTTGTTAACATTTTTTGTAACCTATACCCTCTTCTGTAATAAAAGGCAACTACAAATACATTGTAAAATTTCTACTGCATAAAAATTCTTAGACATATGCACTGAAGCTCCTATACATTTATTCTAAAGTAATGCATAACTTCTTTTTTCAAAGTATTTTAACAATATTTTGTATTTCAGAATACATACCACTTCATCTTCAAATCCTCCCGCTAATACAAGAGAGTATGAACCATCATTGCTACGCCCGTGAATTCCACCAACATGGGGCCGATGGACACCTGCTTCACTAACCTGGTAAAACAGATTAAAAAAAAAAAAACAAAACTCAAATAAACAAAAAAAAGTGGTTGGTTTGTGTGAATGTTTTATTTTAGTCTGCCTCTCAAGGGTTATGTGGTTAAGTGATTTGTGTCTGGGCTGTTGCTGAACATTAAAAAAAGAAACAAACAAACAAAAAAAAGCCTTTTAACCACTTGCCTTACTGAGGATTTACACCCCTTCATGACTAGGCTATTTTTTGCGTTACGGCGCTGCGTTACTTTAACTGAAAAGTACACGGTCATGCAACGCTGCACCCAAATGAAATTTACGTCTTTTTTTCCCCCACATATTGAGCTTTCTTTCTATGGCATTTGATCACCTGTGCAGTTTTTATTTTTTTGCGCTATAAGCAAAAAAAAGACCGACAAAAAACAATATTTTGGACTTTTTACTATTAACCACTTCCCGTCCGGCCGTTGTATATAAACGGCCGGACGGTGGCACTGCAGGGTCGGGTGGCCGTCTATAAACGGCCTCCCCGCACCCTGCTTGTGTGCGCGCTTCCTGGGAGCGCGCAGCACCGCGATCCGGTGCCCGCTGTGTCCTCCGGACACAGTGAAACACCGATCGTCGGACGGGACCTCTGTACGAGGTCCCGATCATGTGATCACTGATTGGCCAATCAGTGATCACATGCAAAGTAGTAAGCAAGATGTCACTTGTGACATCATTGCTTACTACGTGTGAAATCTGTGAATGATCACAGAGGTCACATGGTACAAGGCTATTCACAAAAGCCTTGTACCATTTGACAAGCTGTGACCAATCACAGCTCACTCAGTACTTATCAATGAGTGCAAGAATGCACACAGAGAGAAAGACAAATGATTGCTTTTACATCCTATATGGGTGTAAAAGCAATCAGTGTAAAAAAAAAAAAAAAAAAATCTTCATCACCCCCCACAAGTAGTACAGTGTCACCATGGTGACACTGACTGCTAGGGTGACAGTATGTAAAAAAAAAAAAAATAAAAAAAAATAAAAATGTAAAAAAAAATGTTTAAAAATTATAATTTTTGCTTATAAACTAATTTGGATTTTTTTTTTTTACTAAAATAACGGAACAAATTTTGGCTAAGATTTATGATGAAATATTATTTATTTGCAAAATTTTATAAAAAAAACACTTTTTTTCAAAATTTTTGGACATTTCATTTACATAGCAAAAAAAATACAAATCCCAGTGGTGAATAAATACCACCAAAATAAAGCTTTATCTGTCTCAACAAAATGGTAAAAAATTCATTTGGGTACAGTGTTGCATGACCGCGCAATTGTCATTCAAAGTGTGATAGTGCTAAAAGCTGAAAATTGCCCTGGTCAGGAAGGGGGTAAAAGTGTCCGGTCTGGAAGTGGTTAAACATGTCCAGTAAAAAAAAAGCAACTTTTAGCGGGACTGCGGCGGACATTCTGACACTGGGGGGAAACTAACGGTGTCACTGACACCAATACAGTGATCAGTGCTAAAAAAAGAAAGAAAAAAAAGAAAAAAAGGCACTTACACTGTACTAATGGCACTGGGCAGAAAGGGGTTAATGTGAGAGGCGATCAAAGGGTAAACTATGTGTTGGGAGTGTTTTACTAGGGGGCGGTGGGGTGTTCTTTACTGTAAGCACATTGATCGGGATGGCTGTACTGTACACAGCCATCCTGAGCAGTGTGCACAAGCTGACAGGGAGGAAGATTGTGAACAAAACAATCTTCTTCCCTGACGGAGATGCTCAGTAATCACCAGGCGCCAGAGGGTATTTACTGGCCAGGACCCGATGATTGACATCCGCGAATGGTGGTGAGGGTAGGGCTCGCACGCGCCCCTTACCCGGAAATGCAAAATCACGTATATAAGTGATTTTGCGCACAGGTGCCGCCCTGTAGCAGTATATCTGCTATAGGGTGGTCCTTAAGCAGCTAAAGCTGATCTTTAGACTGTCTACCCTGCCCCATACCACTCCCCCCCTCTAATTAGTCACTTGCATACAAACAATCAAAAACAAAAAAACCTACTCAATGCACATTTAGTCACAAGGCCTATGAATGAGAAGATGCAGGCGCAGTATCGCCACTAGCAAAAAACTGCAGGCATGCAGGGAATGGGAGGGCAAAGAATGGATTCCATGAAGCCGCACATCTATGCAGACCCGCTGGTATTGGAATGAATGACAGTCTCAGCCTAGGCTCCCGCGAGGGAGGGACGTGGTCTGGCAGAAGTCCAGGCTGAGACTGCCATTCATTCCAATACCAGCGGGTGTGCATAGATGTGCGGCTTCATGCAATCCATCCTTTGCTTAACAGTTGCTTGGAGTGGAGATGAGCTCCTTCACAGCTTGCTCTAATAGTGGTGGACACGGGATTGCTTTCCCTTGTAGCCTGAGTGGCACACACTATCCATTACAGGTTTACAGGGAATTGGAGGGGTTATGCTGGAATTACCCTTACAGCTTTGTTTTGTCAGTGTCAAATTTATTTATTTCAGGTACTTATATAGCGCTGTCACTTTATGCAGCGCTTTACATATATATATTGTACATTCACATCAGTCCCTAACCCTCAAGGGGTGTACAATCTAAGGTCCCTTACTTAAATTCATATATACACATACTAGGGCCAATTTAGACAAGATCCAATTAAACTAGAAGCATGTCTTTGAAGTGTGGGAGGAAACTGGAGTACCCAGAGGAAACCCACGCAGGCACAGGGAGAATATGCAAACTTCAGGCAGGTGGTGTCATGAGTGGGATTCCAACCAACAACCCTAGTACTGCCAAGCGGAAGTACTAACCAGTTAGCCACTGTCCAATCACCTTTATTATACAGTGTGCGCACAATGAAAGTATGCATTGCTCTCCATTATCTACACGTGTGGTGTCCCAAACAGAGAAAGGAAATGGGGAGAAAAGGTGGGGTCCAGTAAACTATCCATATTTGGGATGGATCTCCGTACAGCAAAGAAGGAAAGCAAACACTGGGCACTGACGTTATTAAAACTGCAGCAGTACCACTTTATTCAAACATGGCACTCTTGATTGACAGCATGCTGCGATTTTACCAACTCCCAATGCTCTGAGTTTGCTCTCATCAATCACCTAAAGGCACCCTATGTACCTGAATACTCTAGAGCAGGTGCATGGATCCACAACGCAGTGTCTGTGTTTAGATCCATGCAACCACCCCTGCGTACAAATCAAAATTTGACATGCAATTATGTCCATGCAGCCACTGCATAGCATCCATTTCTATGGGCAGCCTGCAAGCAGCTCTAACGTGGATGCACAAGCATTTGGCAGAGGCTCTGCACAGAGCAATACAGTCATATTGAGAAAATGATGCTTAACCTCGCTTTAACGTGCATTAACAAAATCTCAGCTGCGCCAAATCAGCAGCGATGACAACAGCTCATTGTAATTACATATGTGACTTAACTGCTATGTTTGTTTGTGTGAGGGCTACTTTTGGTCCCAACTGAACTGTGCTTTTTGATCAAAAACTAGGCCATTTTTAATATTTCAAGGATGGCTCTTATTACTGCAGCTAATATTAATGTGCTTTCAAGGAGGTTATTATTAATGAATCTACTGGAATCTCAGAGCTGACCCACATATGAAAAAAATTCCTTTTATCTGTCTAGTGCTCCCAGATTCATATGAATTTTAGCCTCTAAGTTATCCACCTTTTTTTTTTTTTAATTACATCTTTGGTTGCCTTAAGGCAGGGTTTCAGATTAGGCTTCCATAAGATTTTATTAGGTGAAACTTGGCAGCATATATCTGCGGATTGCAAATTTTTTATGATTTCTCTAGCAAAATGTATGTTTATACGCAGCTTCTTACACATTCCACTAATGTCACAATGCTCACTGAATGCTACATACGTTACGGTGTGCTAGGGCAGTGGTCGGCAAGCCGAGGCTCGCGAGCCACATGCGGCTCTTTACACACTTTAATGCGGCTCTTCTGTGTGCCGGGCGCCCGCTCCCCTCCCTCCTCTCGGGCGGGCCGCCCCAAAAGTCAGGACTCTACAGCTAGCCCAGCAATGGGCAAACTACGGCCAGCGGACCTTTTAATCCGGCCCACAGAGCGTGGCAAACATTGGCTGTCAGGATGTAGGCGGGGCAGCGTGACGAACTCCTCTCCTCTCACAGTCCGCCCTGAAGACCGGAACGGCGCGGGAACATGGCGAGAGGAACGCGCGGAGGTAAGTGAATTGACACAATATGGGGAATGAATTACTATGGGGGATGAATTAATTACTATATGGGGGATGAATTACTATATGGGGGATGAATTACTATATGGGGGATGAGTTACTATATGGGGGATGAATTACTATATGGGGGCTGTATTTTCAGTTTTAAAAATATGGCTCTCAAAATAAATTTCAATCGTGGTTTTGGCGAGATTTGGCTCAGTTGAAAAAAAAGGTTGCCCACCACTGTGCTAGGGAATAGACAAGCACATTTAGTTACACAATGTAGCTATTCGATGACATCCCCAGCCAAGGATTTTGTGCACAGGGAGTTAGGTGCAAATACGATCTAAGTTTATAAAATAATTTCACAGGCAGAACTTCTACTATGCATGGTGAGAAGATTTCAGCATAAGGGTTGCCAAATACATACTATAATTACCAAAATTTGTGAACTGCATGCTGACTTACAGCAGAACTTCACTGCATCTCAAATCTAAATTAATTTAATTCATTTTTAATATTCAAAGCAAACTCACCCACCCGTTCTTGTCTCAATGCTTTTTTTTTGCTGAGAAATCACTTTGAAAATTACCCCCTATCATTTCTGGCCATGGCCATCTTAAGTAAGGGCAGATGATTCATGTAGCATCTACCTCCTAGAATCCACGTGCCCTTAGCACAAACATGCAGGCAGGAAGGTGTGATTAGCGGAAAATCACACCACCCGGAAACTGCTGAATCCAGGTGCCCTTAGCTCAAACATGCAGGCAGGAAGGTGTGATTAGCGGAAAATCACACCCCCCGGAGACAGCTGGAATGTATGATATAATTTGCCTAGGCGTGGAAACCAGGAAGTAACTGAAGAAATGTAAAAAAAAAACTCAAAACACAAGTTTAAAAACAAGTAAATATGATATACTTTCCTATCTATTTACTAATGCTAGCAGCATAAGGATTAAAAAGAGTCAAAGTTGACGGAGAATGTGAAGTTCCACTTAATCACATGAACCGTGTAACCTGTATAAATAAGCTATGGCAGTAAACAGGTAAGCTGGCAACTATGATCAACACAAGTGTTTTTGAATGACATCCCACTTTTAGTAATGCACCCGTAAAAAAAAAAAAAAGAAGGGAAAAAAAAAAAAAAAAAAGGGGACATTTTCTATGCTTACAGGTGTAAACTCATCTGCTCATGGTCTGCAAGTCAGAAATATTGAAGTCTGAAACATCTAGGCAACTGGCATTTTCAAAAACAAGCCCTTAATTCAAGCCCAATATTTTTTTTCGCATACTTAAAGCAGCCCAAAAGAAAAAACTTCTTCCCGTTTAGCATAGCAATTTTTAATTTTCCGTGCATTACATGCCCTTAACTAATTGGGCCAGGTTACTGGGAGGCATGCGCAGGATTATCATTCATTATCCACCAGATCACTTAAGAGGATGCCTGGGAAACCTAAAGAAGCAGTTGGGAACACAGCCAGCAGTGGTGAACTGTTAGGTAATGAAGCAATTGGAGAAGTGCATCCAGCAAAACACTTAAAAAAAAAAAAAAAAAAAAAGTAGTATAGCCAATGCAATTTGGCTATACTTCTGTAGGTCACAGGAGAGCAGAATGAACTGCACTCCCATGATCTGCAGAAGTACAGCCAAAAATTTTCAGCCAACAGTGAGCTAAAGTCCACTGTTCGCGAACGTCACTCAGCTGGTCCAGGCTCAGAAAAAGATCCCAATCATATGGTTGCGATCCACCAAGAAGCCTGGACCAGCACCTGGCTCAGACTCTTGGTGAACTGCCGAGAGCCTAAGCCAGCCCCTCACGCCCCATCTGCAGCCAGTGAGCACTTGAGGGGCAGAGCAGTCTGAGACTAACAGTCCTGGTTCTCTGCTCAGAGTGGAGGGGGAGAACTGAGTGATCAGCATTTACATGTTTCTCTAGCATCCCTCTTCCCCATAGCAGAGCCTGTGTCTACTCTCCCCAAATCTGCATCTGTTTTGACAGTGGGGCTCTTCTTGGGAGAGCAGTAAATTCAGCAGAGAACTAGGCAGGGGTGTGTCTACTCTCTCCAACTCCACTGCTGTTTTGACAACCAGCCTCCTCCTGGTAGAGCAGCCAATCAACACAGCAGGACATGTCTGCTCTTTCCAATTCCACTGCAGTTTGAGAGTGAGGCTCCTGTTGGAAGCACTGTAAATCATCACTGCACAGCTGGATGGGGGTGTGGCAACAACACACATTCTGCAACTTCAAGCAGGAAGAACGGACATGCAAACTGACCACACACCAGCACCAATCTGCTTCTGTGCTTGGCATGGTCAGAATGAAAGAAGGAATATGACAAAATTAACAGGATCGCAAAGTATTTCAGGACAAACAAAAATTTTAATAAACAAGCTACATTTACCCACAACAATATGAAAACGCACATTTATGTGATATAAATGTTTTGGCGCAGCACATACTTTAACATCACTTTGTATCTAAAGCAGAAATATTTTTTATTTGAGAGAGAGTGAAGAAGTGGTAAAACCTGTTAGGTTTTGGTTCTTCTATGTGTCCCTCTGGGGTCATTTACACTCTTCTCTTTGTGCTAGTGACCATTGTCACTAGGAAAAAAAGTGACATAAAATAAAAAAAATTTTACATTTGTCAATGAAACAGAAACAGAGCAGAAACTATCCAACAGGACAACTGTCTAAGAGAGGAGGTTGCCTAATTTTGGAGAGATTTCCCCTTGTTTCCTGTTCCAAAGGCAGCCCATGTGTGTGAAATCGTTAAGGAATGTCCTTCATTGCTGTGCTGCAATTGCATTCTAAAAAGATGAAAATTATAGATTTAAAATCCTGTACACCCAGTAATAAATTAGTGATGTTCTTAACTTTCAAAAGGGACAGATGAAGGCATAATTCAAGTACTGGTGTAACAGAACAGTCTACTGGCAGCACAGTGGCTAAGTGGTTAGAACTTCCATCTAACAGCAGTAGGTTCGAATCCCAACCACAACACTACCCGCATGTTTTCCCTGTGCTTGCGTGGCTTTCCTCCAGGTACTCCCGTTTCCTCCCACACTTCAAAAACATCCTGATGGGTTAATTGGCTCCGGTCTAGATTGGCCTGGTTATATATGAATGAGAGTTAAGAAACTTAGATTGTAAGCTCATTGAGGGCAGGGACTAATGTGAATCTGCAATACATATGTAAAATGCTGCGTAAATTGATGGAGCTATACAAGTACCTGTAATTAATAATAATGTATTGCAAGTACATTTTTTTAGTATTCTCTGCTGCCACCATTTTGCATGTAATGAAAAGTTATATCCAGTAAGAAAAAGCCTTCTGCCCTGATATACATGTTAATATAAACCATTTGTTCACAGTTGGCTAGCTGAGGAATATGTATACATTATGTTTAGACAAAACAAAGCTATACACCAAGGACCCACATAGAACATACCTGCACTCGGAATTTCCATAATGCCCCAACAGGAACACCAGGGATGGGACCATAATGATTTGAAGGGACAATAGTGCACTCTTTAGTGCGCCCAACACAGGCCATTCCCTTTAAAGAAAAACAGAACAGTTAGCATTAGTATTGACTGTCCGCAGACATTTACAGTGGTGGATATAGGGTCCTGGCCTGTTTTTTTGCAACATGCTCCTACAGCGTCGGTTGTAGATCAAATAGGCAATATGATCTTGTTCTATACTAAAAGCTCCTATCAAATTCTAAATCCAAAAAACTAGGGTTCAATAATACTGAAGAAAATCTACTCATAATGCCTACCCTAAGGACCCAAGGACTTTTGTTCAACAGACACCACGTTATATAAAACTTTGGATCCAATATGCAAGCAACCGCTACACCATTACACAGTTCTACAAGCAGCATCTTTACAGCAATCAAATGCCTGGGTAACTACCAAGGGAATAATCCTTTAGTTAGGTCAAAGATAGCTGATCATCACTACTAACAAAGAAATGTTTTTGAAACAAAGTCAGCTCATGTGATACCATCATTAAGACCTGTGGACCTGTTTTCACTTTGATAATCCCAATTTTGCCATCTGGCCAAAGCTAAATAAAAACCACCTAGCAATTACAGTAAAAAAAGGACCCTGCAATTACAATGTGAACATAGGAACACAGCTCTGATCTCAGCAGGGTTTATCAAATAAAGCTCTTGGGCTCCATGATCACACCAAAACAGTTCACTCTCTTGCACTATGGGATCCCCACAGCAACTGACCTTCTTACCTTGCCATTTCACATGGAACTCATTACAGTCTTTCTACATTAAGAACTTGTTCACACTTAACTAAATTTCTAACTCTTATCAAATGCTCCTATAGCTTTAGTATGAGCGTTAGACAGGCGTATGGGCATTAGACAGGCGTGAATGAGCTTTAGGATGGGCGTTAGAGCTGGCCTGAATGAGCTTTAGGATGGGCGTTAGGCTGGCGTGAATGAGCTTTAGGATGGGCGTTAGGCTGGCCTGAATGAGCTTTAGGATGGGCGTTAGGCTGGCCTTAATGAGCTTTAGGATGGGCGTTAGGAGGAGCTGGATGGGCCTTAATGAGCTTTAGGATGGGCCTTAATGGCGTTAGGATGGGCCTTAATGAGCTGGCCTTAATGAGCTTTAGGATGGGCGTTAGGGCTGGCCTTAATGAGCTTTAGGATGGGCGTTAGGATTTTAGGAGGATGGGCGTTAGGCTGAGCCTTAATGAGCTTTAGGATGGGCGTTAGGATGGCCTTAATGAGCTTTAGGATGGGCGTTAGGATGGGCCTTAATGAGCTTTAGGATGGGCGTTAGGCTGGCCTTAATGAGCTTTAGGATGGGCGTTAGGCTGGGCCTTTAATGAGCTTTAGGATGGGCGTTATGGGGCCTTAATGAGCTTTAGGATGGGCCTTAATGAGCTTTAGGATGGGCCTTAATGATGCTTTAGGATGGCGTTAGGAGGATGGGCCTTAATGAGCTTTAGGATGGGCGTTAATGAGCTTTAGGATGGGGCTTAATGAGCTTTAGGATGGGCGTTAATGGCTTTAGGATGGGCGTTAATGAGCTTTAGGATGGGCGTTAATGAGCTTTAGGGCCGTTAATGAGCTTTAGGATGGGCGTTAATGAGATTTAGGATGGGCGTTAATGAGCTTTAGGATGGGCGTTAATGAGCTTTAGGATGGGCGTTAATGAGCTTTAGGATGGGCGTTAATGAGCTTTAGGATGGGCGTTAATGAGCTTTAGGATGGGCGTTAATGAGCTTTAGGATGGGCGTTAATGAGCTTTAGGATGGGCGTTAATGAGCTTTAGGATGGGCGTTAATGAGCTTTAGGATGGGCGTTAATGAGCTTTAGGATGGGCGTTAATGAGCTTTAGGATGGGCGTTAATGAGCTTTAGGATGGGCGTTAATGAGCTTTAGGATGGGCGTTAATGAGCTTTAGGATGGGCGTTAATGAGCTTTAGGATGGGCGTTAATGAGCTTTAGGATGGGCGTTAATGAGCTTTAGGATGGGCGTTAATGAGCTTTGGAGGGCTTAATGAGCTTTAGGATGGGCGTTAATGAGCTTTAGGATGGGCGTTAATGAGCTTTAGATGGGCGTTAATGAGCTTTAGGATGGGCGTTAATGAGCTTTAGGATGGGCGTTAATGAGCTTTAGGATGGGCGTTAATGAGCTTTAGGATGGGCGTTAATGAGCTTTAGGATGGGCGTTAATGAGCTTTAGGATGGCGTTAATGAGCTTTAGGATGGGCGTTAATGAGCTTTAGGATGGGCGTTAATGAGCTTTAGGATGGGCGTTAATGAGCTTTAGGATGGGCGTTAATGAGCTTTAGGATGCGTTAATGAGCTTTAGGATGGGCGTTAGGGCGTTAATGAGCTTTAGGATGGGCGTTAATGTTAATGAGCTTTAGGATGGGCGTTAATGAGCTTTAGGATGGGCGTTACAGGCGTTAATGAGCTTTAGGATGGGCGTTAATGAGCTTTAATGGCGTTAGCGTTAATGAGCTTTAGGATGGGCGTTATGACAGGCGTTAATGAGCTTTAGGATAGGGCGTTAATGAGCTTTAGGATGGGCGTTAGGCGTTAATGAGCTTTAGGATGGGCGTTAGACAGGCGTTAATGAGCTTTAGGATGACGTTAGGATGAGGCGTTAATGAGCTTTAGGATGGGCGTTAGACAGGCGTTAATGAGCTTTAGGATGGGCGTTAGGCGTTAATGAGCTTTTAGATGTGGCGTTAATGAGCGTTAATGAGCTTTAGGGGCGTTAACAGGCGTTAATGAGCTTTAGGATGGGCGTTAGGCGTTAATGAGCTTTAGTATGGGCGTTAGACAGGCGTTAATGAGCTTTAGGATGGCGTTAGACAGGCGTTAATGAGCTTTAGTATGGGCGTTAGGCGTTAATGAGCTTTAGTATGGGCGTTAGGCGTTAATGAGCTTTAGTATGGGCGTTATGTATGGGCGTTAGGCGTTAATGAGCTTTAGGATGGGCGTTAGGCGTTAATGAGCTTTAGGATGGGCGTTAGGCGTTTAGGATGGGCGTTTAGGATGGGGCGTTAGACGTTAGGCGTTAATGAGCTTTAGGATGGGCGTTTTAGGCGTTAATGAGCTTTAGGATGGGGCGTTTAGGCGTTTAATGAGCTTTAGAGCTTTAGGATGGGCGTTAGGCGTTAATGAGCTTTAGGATGGGCGTTAGGCGTTAATGAGCTTTAGGATGGGCGTTAGGCGTTAATGAGCTTTAGGATGGGCGTTAGGCGTTAATGAGCTTTAGGATGGGCGTTAATGATTAGGGCGAATGAGCTTTAGTATGGGCGTTAGCGGCGTTAATGAGCTTTAGGGCGTTGGGCGTTAATGAGCTTTAGTATGGGGCGTTAGGGCGTTAATGAGCTTTAGTATGGGCGTTAATGAGCTTTAGGATGGGCGTTAGACAGGCGTTAATGAGCTTTAGTATGGGCGTTAATGAGCTTTAGTATGGGCATGGGCGTTAATGAGCTTAATGAGCTTAATGAGTATGGGCGTTAGGCGTTAATGAGCTTTAGTATGGGCGTTAGGCGTTAAATGAGCTTTAGTATGGGCGTTAGGCGTTAATGAGCTTTAGTATGGGCGTTAGGCGTTAATGAGCTTTAGTATGGGCGTTAGGCGTTAATGAGCTTTAGTATGGGCGTTGGGCGTTAATGAGCTTTAGTATGGGCGTTAGGCGTTAATGAGCTTTAGTATGGGCGTTAGGCGTTAGAGCTTTAGTTGGGCGTTAGGCGTTATGAGCTTTAGTATGGGCGTTAGGCGTTAATGAGCTTTAGTATGGGCGTTAGGCGTTAATGAGCTTTAGTATGGGCGTTAGGCGCTAATGAGCTTTAGTATGGGCGTTAAGACAGGCATTAATAAGCTTTAGACTGGCTTTTTACAAGAGTTAAAAACGTTCCCTAAACACCCTATGCACAGTTTTGAAGCATTTTATTTGACAAGCATTAAAACCACACCATAATCTAAATAACCAGTAATGTTTTTAATGCTCCACAACCGCACTGCAAATGCCTCGCAAACGCCTGCCAGTGCGCTTGAGGAGTGTCACCATAGACTTGAAAGGAAGGCATTGAAAGGCTTCTGACTCGACATGAGGCTTAAATTGTTTTGATAATGTGAACAACACTGTGTGTTGCACATAGTATCATTTGCATAGGCGTTTGAGGGGCGTTAAATACGCCCCTCAAATGCCTGCGTTCAAAGCCAGTGTGAACTAGGCCTTACATTTTTAAATAAACACAAATACAACAATTAAAGACAAACAGTGAATCCTCTTGGGACACCACCTGATTTTACAAGGATTCTGCTTTTTAGGACTGGCATTTTCAATTTACAGCAGTGTGGCAGAAGGCAATAAACATTTCTATTGTTACTGTAAGAAAAACAAGGTCTATGGATTCAGCAACCTTGGTTACAGAAGACAACATAGGGACATTACACATTTGAGAAAAATACCTATATCATGACAGAGACCTGGGCCCATCCCACTCCTATTATACTGGCAGTTAACACCTAGCAGGTGTTAATATCTTAAGATAGACAGACCCAGGCAGTCCAAAACTTGGGCTACGTTCACACTGCTCCCTTGCAAAAATGGGGTAAAAAAAAAACAAAACAAAATGCATATGCATTTTTGGCATATTTTTTTTTTACTACATTTCCAGTGCATCTGGCACCTGTGAAGATATGTGACTTAAAAATGCACCAAAAACACAACCGTGGCTGCATTTTTGATGCCCTTTTTCATTTATTTCAGTAGGGAGGTGCGTATTTTTATAGCACCAAACATGCAACAAAAATGCAGCAAGCAGGACTTTGAAAAAACGCAATGGACCCGCAACTAACCAATGTGAAGAGTTCCATAGGATTTAAATGTTATGCATTTTTCTTCTGCTTTAGTGCAAAAATGGAAGAAAAACGGATCAGTGTGGAAGCAGCCTTATTGTTCTGGGCATGCGGCTGAGTGTCCAATAGACTTGCTTGGCTGCTGTCATGGCCAAATAAGTTCATTCAGGTCAAATAGCTGAAGGACAGAAGTAGTACCGG